TATTATGTTATAAGAAGCTAAAAAGTATCAGTCCGTTTTCCCGACAGATGTATACCCTCAGCCAATATTCGATTATTTAAATATATTTTGACTTCTGTTATGATTATTGAAAAGTTCGATCCTCTACGGAGTAGATTCCGAAGGAATGGACCAATATTGCTCATTTCGTATCGGACCTAAATAAATGTGATACAAATATTGATATGATATGGACTATATGGGTTACTTCCTTCACTATATATGAGATATGTGATAATTTTAAGAAAATAATAAAATATGCATGAGCTACCAGTCGACCGAAGCATTCCATTTTCATAATTCATCTAATACAGATAGAAGTATTGGGATGGGCAAAATTGCAAGAAATTTTAAAATTTCATTAATTTCACATTCATCTCAAATTTCTGGATGAGTGAAATATTTAGATATATCAAGTCATAAAGAATCGCTGACTTGTTTCGCAAGTTATGACAGATAAAGTAATTGAGTATTTTGAAGCTTTGTGGGTGAGGTACTGGAAGGGGTTCGCAGATATATGTCACCTTCACAACAGATCTTGTGTTGGCAAAAATGTATGGATGTGTGAAATTTGAAGAGAGTTGGATGCTTTTTTCGCTTTCTTTGAGCGTTTTGTTTCAAAATATTGAACCCAATGTGGGGGAGGAACCAGAAGAAAGGGTCCCATCTTTATAACAGATCTTGTGTTGATGGAAATATTGAGGTATATCAAATCTGGAATGATATCGGATGTTAATTTCGCTTTTTATGAACTTCGTTTTGACAATTTGTGGGGGAGGTACCAGAAGGAGTGCATAGTGGCGCACCCCATCTTCACAGCAGATTTTGAGTTAGTAGAAATAATGTGATATGTGAAATTTGAAGACGATGTTTGTTTTGGATTCTATGCTTGTTTTGGTTATTCAAAACTTTGACCCCTTGTGGAGAAGTTACAAGAAGAAATGGCCCGATCATCTTTATAACAGATCTTGTGTTGATAAAAATATTGAGATATACCAAGTCTGAATGGAATCGGATCTTAACTTTCTTTGTATGAGGTTCATGGACATTCAAACTGTTGAACCTTTGAGGAGGAGGTACCAGAAAGAGTAAGCCGGTAGATTTCATTTTCACACCAGATCTAATATCAGTAGAAATAATGAGATGTGTTAAATTTGAAGAGAACCGTATGCTTACTTCGGATTCCATAATCGTTTCGATTTTTCAAACTTTGACCCTTTCTGGGGTGGTACAAGAATTAATGGTCCGATCTCTACCATCTTTATAACAGTTCTTCTGTTGACAGAAACATTGAGATGTAGAAAGTCTGAATGGAATCAATTCGTAATTTCGCGTGCATTCAAAATTATGACCCTTTGTGGGGAGGTACTAGAAGGAGGGGACCGCTATATCCCATTTTCACACCAGATCTAGTATTAATAGAAATAATGGGATGCGTGAAATATGAAGAAAACCGAATGCTTAATTTGGATTTTATGATCGTTTTGGTTACTCAAAACTTTGACCTTTTGTAGAGGAAGCACCAGAAGAAATAGTCCAATCTCCACCATCTTAATAACAGATCTTTTGTTGACGGCAATGTTGAGATGTACCAAATCTGAATGGAATCGGATGTTAATGTTGCGTTTTATGAGCTTCATGGATATTCAATATTTTGAATATCCTCCTCCAGGGTCCAGGGTCAAAATATTGATTATCCAGAAGGAATGGTCCGATATATTCCATCTAAGCACCAGACATTGGTTTAATAAACATATTGTGATGTGTTTAATTTGAAAACATTCTGGCTCTTTCATCACATTATAATAGAGTTATAATTATTCAAAATGTTGATCCTTTGTGGGGGAGGTACTTGATGGAGTTGACCGATATTGTCCATTTTCGCACCTGAAATATTTGGATTTACAAAGTGGCAGGAAAATCCATTCTCCATTCTGTGCAGTATTTTTTTTTTTTTTTTGAAGATTTCAACCTTTTATGGGGGAGGTACCAGAAGGAGTAGATCGGCATTGTCCATCTCCGAACTCGATCTAAGTTTCTAATAGGACATTTTACCTGCAGCAGATATTCGGTATTTTGATGACTTTGACTAACGGAATTTCTTAAAATTCGGTATTTAGATTTCCTATAGGGTTGTATTCCTATTTTAGAACAATTTTTTTAAAAGCCCCTATACCATCATAGTATGGAGGGTATATTAAGTTCGTCATTTCGTTCGGTACTCATCGAAATAATAATTTTAGACCTAAAAAGTATTTTTGATCAGCATAAAATTCTACGAGTATAGGGTTGCCCATATTCGACGGACCCATGACTCTTTGGGCCCATTCCAATCGACGAGGCTTGTCCACAGGCAACATTTTTTGCGTCAAATGAATTTTGTACGGCCATAAATGCTAATCAATGCGAATAATCCGTTGTAAAGTGGACTGAGCCATGCCCAACTGCTGGGAACGGCGTTTTTGGGATGTTCTTGGGGACCTCTCAACACTGGCTCGTACGGCAGCGATATTCTCGGCCTATCGCCTTGGTCGACTTTTATATGGCCTCTTCGGATTAGAAAAAGCCTTATCAGTCGAAAATTTTTCGTACAAACGCTTAATGGTGTTCTTAGAAGGCGCACTTCTCACATTTTTTAATGTTTTAAAAGCACGTTGAGTTTTCACAATTGACTTCTTCTGTTGAATGTAAATTTCAACTATTTCAGAGCGCTAGCGTGGCGTGTATTGGTTCATGGTAAAAATTAGCTTGGACTGACGCTTCAAACGCGGTATGTCATTAAGCGATGTGACATCTCTGTCAAAAGTTATGGCGTTGCCAGATGGGTCCGTCGAATATGGGCCACCCTGTTTAGCTAGATAGATACAATATATATGTAAATTAAATTGATCTTAGTTATTCTGCTTATCAGTATATAACCGCTAGACCGATTTTCACAATTCTCATCAATTCGGAATGGTCTCTTGCCAGAAAACAACAAAATCTTATAAATTCGCGTAAAAATATGCCAATAAAAAAGTGAATATTTTTTGTTTTGTTATTCAATTTTTGTCATATTTTTATCGCATGCGATTTTTTCAATTTGACTTACAATTTTGAATTGTAAATTTCCTAAAGTTTTTTTCGCACCAGACATTGGGTTAATAAAAATATTGTGATGTGGTTAATTTGAAAATAATCTGGCTCTTTCATCACATTATAATAGATTTTTAATTATTCAAAGTGTTAATTCTTTGTGGGGGAGTTACTTGATGGAGTTGACCAATATTGTCCATTTTCGCACCTGACGTAGCACTGATGCAAATATTAGGATTTGCAAAGTTAGAGGAAAATCCATTCTGTTTCTGTGCAGTATTTTTTTTTTAATATTTCCACCTGTTACCAGCTGGAGTAGATCGGTATTGCCCATCTCGGAACTCGATCTTAGTTTCTAATAGGCCATTTCTCCTGCAGCAGATATTCGGTATTTTGATGACTTTGTGCCCCATTTTCTAACGAATCTCTTAAAATTCGGTATTTAAATTTCCTAAAGAGTTCTATTCCTATTTTAGAACATTTTTTTTTCAAAAGCCCCCATCCTATCGCTATTTTTATAATTTTAGCCACCCTCCACCATACATAGTACGAAGGGTATATTAAGTTCGTCATTTCGTTTGTTACTCATCGAAATAATAATTTTAGACCTAAAAAAGTATTTAAAATTTAAAACGAATTATAATAGGATTTTCGGTAGTTTGATGATTTTAGCGACATTTTTTACCGGAACTGTTTCAAATTTCGGTTTTAAAGTTCGAAATGGCTACTACAGTCTATGAAAATTGCATATACAGGTCCACATCCTCGTATAGCCCCCGTATAACGGTATTTCTTTAAGCGGTATTTTTCTACGGAATTTTTTGGGAATTCTTCTTTATAAAATTCTTCAAAATTTGGAATGCTAGTATTTCGGCCTGACCAATCTTAAATGATTTTTATAAGTTTTCAACTATTCAATAAATAATTGAATGCTTCGAAATTTAGGGCAAAAATTAAAAAAAGTGCATCTGAAGCTTTAAAGCACGACACTAATGATTCGATGGAGCCCCATGTGAGCGTACCACAACCCACTTGATGGTTTCGTATAGCCCCCGTATAACGGTATTTCTTTAAGCGGTATTTTTCGACGGAATTTTTTGGGAATTCTTCTTTATTAAATTCTTCAAAATTTGGAATGCTAGTATTTCGGCCTGGTCAATCTTAAATGATTTTTATAAGTTTTCAACTATTCAATAAATAATTGAATGCTTCGAAATTTAGGGCAAAAATTAAAAAAGTGCATCTGAAGCTTTAAAACACGACACTAATGATTCGATGGAGCCCCATGTGAGCGTACCACAACCCACTTGATGGTTTCTAAGCGTTTTGAAAACATCTTCTCATTAACATTGTCCCAATTTCAGTACTCTCTATTTGAGGCTTTTCATACTTGCATCTTCATCAATTAGAAATAGTAAGAAAAGACCTAATGTCGGGCGGGACGACTATATGATACTCAATGCACAAAGACATAATACACATATAATACTTTTTGTTATTTAGCCACGCGGTATATCCATTTCCGTTTCCTCATTTTCTAAAGTTGTCAATGTTTCATATTTAAAATATGACATTACATTTTTAAATCTTATTTTTACTAAAGTCCCATAATTTAAATATCATCCTAACCTATTCCCATTTTTTCATATTATCCCTTTAATCTCTCAAACGTATTATGTGCTCGGTAATGAGGACAACACTTTATCTTTTTGTTCTTCTTATTCGTGCTCGCACAAAACTTTGCCTAAGTAATTACTTCAAGTACTTGGCAAAAATCTGTCCTTAATTTATAGTCATTATTGATGAGGTAATTTATTACTCGACCGAACCAATGTAGATTCAATCGAAAACAAAAGCAAAGCAGAAAAAGAACGCAATAATATTGAGCAGCAGCAGTAGAAACTTACCTGGGCCGATACTTTGCCCTTTTTCAGTCGTATCAAATCGGTGTGGCTCCAGTGGCTGCGTTTCCAGGGCGCAACTTCTCTGAGATCTTCATTAAAGCTATAAAAAGAAGAGAAGGGAGAAAACAAGAAAAAGTTGAGATTAAGACAAAACACCGCATACACTAAAGTTGCTTATTAAAAACTTTTGCTAGCTGCCAGGCCGGGCCAGGCTATCTGGTAAAAGAGCACCGGCAGCTGCAGCAGCAGCCTAACCTAGCCATAAGAAAACAAAACAATTTGTAAAATGAACAGTAAACCACTGAGAGTTAAGAAAACTGCACAACACAAAAAAAACGAAAGAAAATTAGAGAACAACCAAAGAAGTTGAGGGAAAAGTAACTCAAGACAACAACAACAACAACAACTTCCAGCACCACTACTGCTACAACAATCAATCAATGATAGAAAGAGAGTCAAGTTAAGTAGAAAGTGCCAGAAAGATGTGTTGCTTGGATTTTTTAGGCATCCTTAAAAATAAAAGATGAAAAAAATAAAAACACACAGCAAAGAAAACAAACAACTGCAGCAGCCACTGGCAGCAACAGCAGCACAACAGCAGGAACACTTACTTAAAGTCATTCAGTTTATTGTGCAGGAACTTTCGTATATTCCAGGGTAGGTCGTTATGCCCATCAATTAAAGGCACTTGATCTAATAGTTGTAGGGCAACACGTAGACGTTCTTCGAATGGAGCACCTAAAAGTAAACAAAAGACAAAAAACGATAATAGATGTATGAGAAGAGGCAAATAAATAGAAAAAATAAAGAAATGCTAGATACGGATTAAAACCCAAGCAATTAAATGAGATGAAAATAAAAAATAATAAAAAATAAAATAACAAGGGAGCATGAATGTCCCTCCCATTGCCATAGAAAAAATAAAATAATAAAAAAATAGAATAACATGGGAGCATGTATGTCCCTCCCATTGCCATGGAAAGGTTGAAAGTGGATTTCCTTCAATTAAAGAAAATGTCACATGCAGCGCTTTTAATATTGACATGTGTTGAATAATGAACTTTACATGGGGTTTTTTGTGTGTACGGAACAGTGGAACGGGGCAAAGTTAAAAGTAGATGCAAAGTATTATTGGGAGACGATTGAATACCTATATCACATGCCAAACTTCAATTCCTATAGCATTGAATAGCATGTGGAAGGTATGAAAATGTCCGGTGGGTAAAAATGTTTACATACCCAAATGCTGGTTAAAAATATATTTCCAAGAATTTGGTCAATAAATGCAACGGGCACGCTAACAAAAAATAATTACAGGGGAAATCCAAAATTATGAAAGTAGACTTAAAACCATTAAGGAAAGAAAATAGGCAGGCGGCGCCGATTTTATGATACCCATCACCACAACAAATATTTAGTAGTCACGTGTTGAAATATTGGCAATGATTCAAGGCTAAATTTGGTAATCTCTCTCTGATCCAAATCTGAAATGATCTCGATAAAATTTGGCAGAGGTATTTCTGAGCTGTATCCGATAGATGGCACTAAATATCATTTTTGTGGAGTGCATATTACGATTGTGGGGGACTTAAACACCAAATCGAATGGAATATACAGGGTGAGATAAAAACCTGCAACAAAGGCAAACGCCATAATTTTTACATTATTTTTTTAATTTAATTGAATGAAAGCAAAAAATGTCGGAAATAGCATCAAATTTTAGAATAAGTTTAGATTTGTTCGAACTGGTCACCTTTGGCATGTATTATGTCCTTCAAACGGCCAATAAAACCTTCATACGCTGCCCGAATGTTGCTCTGTGGTATTTTGGCCCAATCCCGGCGAAGCACATGATTGAGGTGATCGAGAATTTGGTATTTTTTAGTGCCAACCTTGCTTTCCAAAATACCCCAGACACAATAGTCAAACGGATTGGATCCGTAGATTTTGGTGGTCATTGTGCACCGAAAATGAAGCGAGAAACCTCATTTTGTAACCATTCTAGGGTGACGCGTGCTGAGTGCGATGGTACTGAGTCCTGTTGGAATGTCCAAGGTCTGCGATAAAGATGCTTGCGTGCACAAAGCTTTAATACACCCTCCAGAATATTTTCGCGACAATATTCGGCGTCTATTCTGCTGCCACGGTCGATTAATACGAGCGGAGAGCGACCATCGGCTGTTATGGCGGCCCACACCATCACCATGGCCGGAGCGAAGCAACTCTTTAGCCCTTTTGAGTCTAATTTCTTTCTGTTGCGGTGCAAGTTCTTGCTCTTTTTGGAATTTCAATGACTTAACCCCGAGCTCATTTTTCAATATTTGCCCAATGGAATATTGCGATATGTTCTGTTCTACTCACGATCCATTTTTCGGCCACTGCGACGAGGGTTTCGATCAAGTCGCTTCTTTACTTTTCGAACCATTTCTGCTGATGTTGCTGTTTTCTTCCGTCCGATTCCGTGACGTCGGGCTACGCTACCAGTATCACGGTAACAAGCGATGGTACGAGACACAAAAGATTTATTCAAATTTAAATGCTGGAGTGCTCTAACGATAGCCACTTGCGTTTTGCCAGCCAACTATAAAGAAATCACGCTTGAATTCCATCGCGAATAACTTTTTTCTGGAAGATTCCCACCAAAATGCTTTTGTATGCTTGTAAACAATATAATGAGCTGTCACTGGAATAATTTTAACAGCTGTCGGACGAGTGGCTTAGAAATGACAGCAGCTTGAAGTTGGTTGCAGAGGTTTCATCTCACCCTGTAGATGGGAGCTATAGCTATATCTAAATCGATTTTCACCTATTGTTATACCTTTGCTTCTTTGCTGAATTAGGTCATATGTGACAAAATCCATTCTATCTGGGCTGATATTAACTACTAGGTGCACAATAAACGTCAAATAGGATCAATATATATATGTCTCGCACGTCTCTATACATATATCTGCTAACATCATAGATCAGCTGTAAATATGGGATGTGTCGAACCAGTCCTTCTGGTACTTTCAACATTTCGAATAACCAAAACGCTTATAAATTTCGAAAGAGGCTTCCGATTATCTTCAAGCTTTATACATCTCACACTAGAGCTGGTGTGAAGATGGTAGATATCTGCCTACCTCTTCTGGTAAAGTATCACAATTTGAAATATTTAAATTTGCGAACAAAGTCTGCGATTCTTTTCAAGCTTGGTATATCTAAATTCTTTTACCAAATATAGATCTGATGTGAATTTAGAATTTATTGGCTCATTCCTTATCGTACCTCCCAACAAAAGCTTAATATTTTAATTAACAATTGCTCTCATAAAATAGGTAAAAGATGATTGAATATCTTTGAATTTTGAACATAAAACCAGAAAGGAAAAGTGAAAAATCTGGTGGACCGACTATTTAATACCCTACACCACTATGCATACAGGGTTGCCCATATTCGACGAACCCATGGACCCATGCCAATCGACGAGGCTTGTCCGCAGGCAACATTCTTTGCGCCAATTGAATTTTGTACGGGAACAAATGCAAATCTATAATCTGTTGTAAAGTGGACCGAGCCATGCCCAACTGCTGAGAACGGCGTTTTTGAGATGTTCTTGGGGACCTCTCAACACTGGCTCGTACGACAGCGATATTCTCTGCCGATCACCTTGGTCGACTTTTATATGGCCTCTTCGGATTAGAAAGAGCCTTACCAGTCGAAGTTTTTCGTATAAACTCTTAATGGTGTTCTTAGAAGGAGCACTTCTCACATTTTTTAATGTTTTAAAAGCACATTGAGTTTTCACAATTGACTTCTTGTAAATTTCAACTATTTCAGAGGGCTCGCGAGGCGTGTATTGTTAATGGTAAAAATCTGCTTGGACTGACGCTTCAAACGCGGTATATCATTAAGCGATGTGACATCTCTGTCAAAAGTTATGGCGTTGCCAAATGGGTCCGTCGAATATGGGCAACCCTGTATTTAGAAGAGCTCCCGTAACAAAAAAAAATTATTTGAAGTAGATCATACCATATATCAACACTGAATTCGGTGGGACGTACCAAAATTATAGGACATTTGGACTTATATTGGCCATTTGATGCACAATTAACCCGAAATCGATTGAAGATATACGTGGAGTTATATCTAAATCTGAGCCGATTATCACCAATTTCAATAGGGTTCGTCCTTGGGCCAAACAAATATTGTTTGGAAAATTTCATCTCAATCGGATAATAATTTTGTTTACAAAAATACATGGACGGACTGACATACATAAATCAATTCAGAAAGTGATCCTCTGAAGATTCTCAAAAGTAACTCCATTCCTTCTCTCTGTTACAAACAGATGCACAAAGACATAATCACCTTACCACTATGTGGTGTAGGGTATAAATATTTTTCAGTTTAGGATGAAGTGGAACACTTCACTCCTTGAGAAAATAATGCGAGAACTCACTAAATGTGTGTGTTTTTTTTTTTTTTTTTTAAACATTTCGAATTTTTCTGGGGGACGTTCCAGATGGAGCAATATATAGTAAGACTGAAGAAAATCGGATACTTACTTCACCTTTTGGGAGCGAGATAACTTTTTTGAATAAATGTTAACTTGTGTGGTAGGGCGCACTTTTCATATCGATCTTCTTTTGAAAAATAGTACGCTTTCGAAATTGGTGGACATAGTTATAGCTGATATGAATGTTAGATCCGATGTTTTATATAAACCTTTCGAGACTCATCCTATGTACTCTATAGCATTAATATTTTGCTTCTATGTATTAAAAAGTATATTTGTTATGGGTCGTCGGGCCTAACACGCCAAGTGGTCTAGGGGTCCGCTCGACTTTTGTTCCCTGCCTTATTTTCTCTTTCTCTTGTTAGAATTTGTATTTATTTTGCAAGTTTAGGTTTTTTTCGTTACACTGTCATCCTTTTAGGGTTTTCTCCCAGATTGACCTCCATAAAAACTAATATATGAAAATATTGAAAAAAAAAAAAAAACAAAAGAAAAAACTTTTTCGAAATTTATAAAAACATAATTGATTTACTTACTTGCAGCCACTCTTAAAGCCAATGGCACTGCAACGCTTGCAGCACCGATTATTAAAAGTATCGAACTAACAGCCAGCCAATGTTTTGCAGCATCGAATCCTTGATATTTTCCAAATTACAGTGGCAAAAAAAGCAAACAGTTCAGTAGACAAGAAAACAAAAATGAAGAAGTGGCAGTAGTTGATGATGTTCAGGTTAAAGGAGAATTTTCATTGACATCAAGACAACACCAGTTGATGTTGCCACAGCCATCATCAGCAGAAGCCAGAACAGCAGCAGCAGCAGTACAGCACCAGTTAAGGGAGTATCCGTTTAATGAAGGCATCAGTTAATGTCGTCGGATTGCGGTAAAGTGGAATGGATAGTTGTTGAGTCCAGTGTCGTAGAGATAATGTTGTTGTTATTGTTGTTTTCGTTTTTGTTTCGAAATTTTTCGATTTGATGTTGCCGTTGCAGATAGTGTCATTTGCAGTTGCGTTGTTTAGTATCCAAGACGAGCAGCCCAAGTTGTAAGGATCACAGCATCAGCATGCAAAAAAAGAGATGTAAAGAGGAGAATCAATAATTAAACACTTTACTTGGCACTGTAATGTGTAATCGTCAGTGGAGTTACAGCAGTGGTTAACAAAGTTTATGGACAATTGATGATGATGGTGGTGTGAGATTTGGTTGGTTTTCGTAGGAGTAGACTTTGTGTTGGG